GGCGCTCGGCCCCCCGCTGGGCTCCCTGGGACACTTCCAAGTGGCCTGTGCGGTCAAAATCACGTTCACAAGGGCGCTGAGATATCATCTCCCTTTGTCGCTGGGTCAGCCTTTGCTGTGATGCTGCGTTAAGTGGAGAGACTAAACCACCAGCAGGTGGCATGGACCGAGGCAGCGCCACCACTGTACGCAGTGCTGCACACTCACGGTTCAAAAAAAAGCTGTTTCACTTAAGGATGTCCCGGGTGACGAAGGAAAAGTTCCTAGTCTTATGATTAGCACTGCATTAAATCTCCACTCTTGATAAATATCTTTTCTATGTCACATGGGAAAATGAGAAAAACACACACAAATCCAGAGACCTGTACCCAAAATGGCTGATTTCTTCCAGAAAAGCAGTTGGTGCAATTTTTTGAGCTGAGAGTGGAACCGGACACACTTCAAGAAACATGATTTGTACCTGAAAGAATGACTAACAAACTGGTTATTCAAACTTGAACAAAGTTCACCTGTCACTTCAACAAGTGTTACATGCTGCCAACAATCACATTTGAGACTTTAAGCCAAAATTCTGAATTTTGGAGAACTTCAATCTGCCACTCTGGGCTTGACAGCTCCTTATGAGATGGTGGTAGTACTAACAAGTGTGATTTTTTGGACACTGTATTACGGAGCGTGTCAGTGCTTAGATCTGCACACCTCGGTCGTCCAATATTTTCCAAATGACCCGTGTCTGATGTTACAGAGCCACGTGTTTGCAAAAGATCCATTCAAAGTGCAAGACAGGCCAATGGATTTTACTGTGACCGAGCACAAAATGCTCACCGACACGGCTTTAGGTTCACACTGTAACTAACCTTCAAGAAACTCCTATTAGGCTGTGGCCCGGTATTAAAGCATCTGAAAGGGCTGCGAAAACACGCCTCCTTTTCCGACTGCACGCCTGCGTGAGGCTGGGTCTGCTTCACATACTCCAACCAGACACACAGCACTACAGCAGGTTGAATGTAGAAGCGCTTATGAGAACTCCTGTCTCCTCTCAGGGGAGACATTAAGGGTTTTGCAAAAAAGGAAAATCATGCCTTTCTTCCTACTAAACATTTTTGTTTTGGACAATATCCATTTATCATAAAAATATGTTACTTGTAATAGTATGCAATGGGTTTATCATTATTTTACAGCAAATAACTAAACATTCTTTAAGTTATCTGAGTTCTAAATGGTAAACACTTGTAGAACTAGCCCACCTAAGAGCTCTTTGATCCCGGACACGTCTCAGGAGCGTACAGCAGTCCTGGGACACAGAGCCGAGGGTCTCACCACGGAACTGCCGCATGTCGTTACCGGGCAGCACCTGCATTCTCCCAGGCCCGGCTCTTATCTTCCTTAACTCCCGGCCGTCACCACGCCTGGCGGCTCCCCGCAGGCTCCCCGGGTCAGCCCGCGGCTCACCCGCTCATTTCCGGGGCTCCCCTTGTCTGTCTGCTCCGCGAGCTGGGACCAGGCCCCTCCCCCGGCACCCTGCCCACTGTCAGCAGGCCTCTCCCCACGCCTGCCACTGGCTACGAGCTTCTCAGGGACACTGTGGGGTGAATCCCATGCACCCAGCCCCGTGGCTGCAGGTGCCAGGTGCTCCTCACACTCTGGCCGAAAGCGGAGCAGGGTCTCACGCTGAGGCCCCCAGAGAGCCAGAAACACGGCTGCTCCCATGCAGGCCACCCGAGGGCAAGGACGTGAGCAGACGTGGCTTCTGCCCTCCAGGACGTCTCCCGCGAAGTGGAACTCACTTCCACTTCTTTTCGCTGGAGAAGGTGGTCCAGCAGGGTAGGAAACCACAGGCTTCGGGGCTGGGTGCGGGCCCGACCCAGGCCGCCTGATCGTGGGGGAGGGGCTCGCCGCTCCGCGTGCCCGGGCTGCGACAACGGCTCCGCTGCGAGGCCGAGTCACCGGCAGGGGGCACCGGCGGGCAGGAGGTGCAGCATGAGCGGCGCCGGGGGTCACTTCCCCCCCTCCCCTCGCTGCCACCCCACCAGTCACGAGAGGCCTGTCATTCCCCGAGAGGATGGCCACCGTGTGGTCCCCTCAGCCCCGACTGTGGCTCCTGGAGCCTCTTCGGCACAGGTGTGGACTGTTACCCCATGAGATAAACCTGAACTTGATAAAATGAGGGGAGCAACTGGTGAGGGCCAGGCTGAGGGTCTGCACTAAACCAAACCAAAAAAATTAATATTTGCAAATGATGTGACCAACGAGGGACAAATTTCCAAAATATACAAACAGCTCATACAGTTTAAAAAAAACAACAACTAGCAATCCACTCAAAAAATGGGCAGAAGACCTAAACAGACATTTGTCCAGTGAAGACATTCAGATGGCCACCAGGCACATGAAAAGATGCTCAGAATCACTAATTATCAGAGAAATGCAAGTCAAGACTACAGCGAGGTAGCGCCTCCCGCTGGTCAGAACGGCCGTCATCAGAAAGTCCGCAAGTGATCAGTGCTGGAGAGGGCGTGGAGGGAAGGGGGCCCTCCTGCACCGCTGGTGGGAACGCAAACTGGTGCAGCCCCTGCGGAGGACAGCATGGAGGCTCCTTAAAAAACTAAAACTAGACTTACCGTATGATCCAGCCATCCCACTCCTGGGCATGTATCAGGAAGACATATTTATTCAATGGTTTTCAAACAGGACATGATGTGATGAAAAGGCTGCTTAAATTAAGGAAGACACAGTCTAGAAGTTCTAAGAAGCGTGGATAGAGGGGGTGAGACCAGGAGCAGGGACTTGAGCTAAGACGTGGAAGCAGCCAACAATGGGGGACAGAAGCACCTGGGTCCTGGGGGTCCTGACATCCCGGCCCCTCTTCCTCCTGACCTTACAGCAGTTCACATCCTCACACTTACCAGGCCTGAAGGGCAGTGGTACTTGCACACACTAGAAAGTCCCCCAGAGGAGCTCGCACAGGCTCACTGGGGACAACGGTCTCATCCAAGGAATCCCAGAAGAGCTCCCGAAATTCTCCAGATGCAGCTAACGGGTGCCCCCAAACACTAGTCACATGGGGATCGTGTGGAATCCACCGTGACTGTGGGAAAGACAGGTGGCCACTGCCGGCCGCTGTGCGTCGTGAACACACCCATGCCAGAGAAGCATTATGCCTCGCACGCAGCACCCCGTCAAGTAACCATTTCATCAGGCAACAAATCTCAGCTGAAAAATGAAAAGCCAGCATCGATCTCATTGTACAGCTGATTTTATTTACAAATAGGAGCTGGATAATCTTGTATTTAAATGGCAGAAGTTCTGTCACTCATGATCAGAGAAGTGACATTTGAAATTGATAAAGTTTCACATTAGGATTCAATCCCTTTCCTAAGGAGGAAAAAAGTCTTCCATTTTGGGAGAAAGATTAAAAAAATATGAAAACATTAGCAATGTAAGGAAATGATGAATTGATGCTGGGGCCAAAAAATGTCTCCAGCAGACACATTTTTCTCTACAGGACACAAAGTCAGTCACAGGAGACCTGGACTGGCTTGCTGACACATGTTTCCACTGTTCAGTTCCAGGAAGGGCTTCCACTTTCTCTCTGTCAGTTCCTGAGTTGTCAAAGGGAATGTGAAGCCACACAGTTTTCAACAGAATCGTGCTAGCTGATTCATTCAAATTAAACCCCAGGGCCTCAGTCTTCACACTGCATCTCATAACAGCCCCACTTGGACCATTTCGAATCAAGCAGCCTGGCTGAGACCTCTCCACTTAGTGAGTCAGGAGCGCCTGCCGTGACAGCAGCTCAGGAAAAGCCAAACCTGGTGGGAAACGCACGTGCCAGGGCATCCTCATCACACGTCCAGTCTCCAAGTGGCACAAAGGGACCCTGGCAGAACACAAGACCCACGCCCCGCCCAGCCTCACCCTACCCCTGTGGCAGCCATCTTTGCAACAGACAGCCTTTAAGTGAGAGATCAGAACGAACTTCGGACCAAAACTCTGCCCTGGGCTTTCATGTCCTCTGTCGGCAAATTCATGGTCCTCCCGCCAGGTCCCACTCCACCCCACGTGTGTGTACTCGGGAGTGGCTTTGTGCCTCAGGTGACGCACCAGGGCATCTACCGTCCACCCCTGGGGGCCCCAGGGACCCCTCCCCTCACTCTCCTCTCCTTCCCCAGGGCCAGAGCAGCACTGGGCGCGGAGCAGGTGTCCAGGAACACTGTGTGGGCATCAGATGAGCCTAAACAGGCCTGCAGGCCTGGGGGCATCTGTCTACCTCGGCTGCTTCCTGCTCCCGATCAGGCTCCAGCCCTCCTCCTGCTCCTGACCCACCAACGACGTCCTTGGTGGGCATGTGTAGAGGCACCCCTGATTCATGGGGAATGGATGATTCCTTAAAACCACCCCTGGCACTGGGAGACTGGCTTTTCTGCAGAAACCCCAGCCGTTGGCCCCAGCTGACACCAGGTCCAGCAGGGCTCCCCCAGCCCCCAAACTCCCTGTGTCCTGGCCCGGCTGCAGGCCCATAAGCACTGAGAATCTCTGACCCGAGGCCGGCAGGGGCGGTGGGGCCAGCCACTCGCAGGCCCCAGTGTCATCGATGAGGAGCCCAGGTCCTAAGTCAGATGCCCTTTAAGGGGCGGGTTCCTCTGAATACAGTTAATGGGGACAGTGAAACGGCTGATCGAGGACAGCCCATGTGTCGGGGCAGGACCACGTGGTGTCACAGGCAGCAGAGCCAGGCAAGTGGGAACCAGTGGGGACCCGACTCTGCAGGGAAGGGCCCCTCCCTCCCAGCCCTGCACTGCAGCTTCCCGACGAGGATGCCCTCAGCAGGACACCACGACTGGCTCCAGAACAGGGCGCCTGTCCAGCGCCATGGACAGACACACGGACACACACATGGTATTTCTCACAGCCGGTCAAGCCTGAGGAGTACAGACTACTCCAGATGGAGACAGGGGCTCCTGTGGCACGGGAGTGGACGCGGGCCAGGCCGCGGGGCTCACCTGGATGCCGTCCAGCAGCTTGCTCATGCACCAGTACGTGTCAGCCTCCACGTTGCGCAGCACGTCCACGGGCACGCGGGACACGTCGGCAGCGGCCACATCCTCGCCGTCTGGGCGCCGCGGGCGGGAGAGACAGCGTGCAGTTAGTGCTCAGGGTGGATAAACCAGCTGCAGCTGCTGGCCAGACCCCTCCGCCCAGCTCCCCTGCTCCAGCTAGAGGCCTCACAGCCTTCCACCCCATCACTTACTGGCTCTCAATCTTAATACCTAATTAGTCGCAGATAATTAATATCCTGAATCCTCTCCAATAAATTAGCATAATTAATATATTACAAATCGCTGCTTCTTGGGCACTTCACAACCTAGTAAGAGAGAACCTAAAATATATTTCTTATTCCTAACCAAGATCTGAACTTTTCTTTCTAAGATTTTTTAAATTCTGCTTCTAATATGTTCACATACTCATAATCAGTAATAATTCTGCTGAAAACCTCCTTCCAAGATTAGTCCAAAATATTTTCACACTGGAAAATACTTCTATGCTACAAGCAAACACCAAGAAAGCAAAACCCAGATGTATTTGAGAAAACAGGCAATGGTGCTCTAAATCATTTCCTCCTTCAAGTACAAAAAGTCTAACGAGAAAACATAACTTAAAAGTTTTAAAATGCAAAACAGATGCCTAATTGAAATGGCTTATCAGACATTTGAACAAACTAATTTTAGATCATAACAAAAATTGCTACCATCCAGCATAACACTCATAAATGTTTTAAAAAACTGTGCATCCCATTTTTAAAATTCTATTTACTTTTGTTTTATTTTGCAAATGTGCATGCCATCTTTGGAAGGAAGATGTTCTTTAAGAAAAGAAAGATGTCAGCCTAGAATATACTCCAGGAAGGTTTCAGTGGGTAAAAATGACAATATAATATAATACAATCTGCTGACATTTACTGAGTGATTATTATATGCCAGGCACCCTTCCTCATGGTTTAAATGCATTAACTCTATTATCACCACCCTTGTGCCCCACGGAAAATGGGGTGTGGAGAAACGCGGAGCCCGGCCTGGGAAGCGGCGGGGCCGGGGTGTGGACCCGCACCTGTCCGACGCCGGTGCAGGTACCGGCTCCCACAAGCACGCCACCTCTCTGTGCAGGCACACCTCACGTGCGCACTGCAGTCGCTTCCCCGGTGGCACCGAACACGCCTCACTCACACTAGGTGTGTGGCTGGGGGGAGCCGCCGCCAACACCCTCCCACCACCCTGTTCCCTGCGCACAGCGGAAATCGGAAAGCAAAGCAGGGAGGGCATTTCAGGCCAGCTTCCCGGAGTGGCTGACCGCCTGGGGCCTCCGTGCAGGGCCCACGAGCCCCGGCTGGCCCAGGCTCGGGACACCAGGCCCCCACCCTTGGTCGAGATGAAGCTCACGCACAGGGCTGCAAGTGGCCCCCTCTCGGGGGACACCTCCCCGCTGGGAAAACAGCTTCGGCAGAATCGACTCTGCACCCCACCGAGCCAGAGCAGACCTGGTCTTCTCTCCCCGCCTCGGGGAGCTGAGCCAACGGCATCCACAGGGCTCCTTCGGAGAAGTTTCCCGTCGACAGATTCTCTTTCAAGGGCCCTCAAAGCACAGAGATACTTCCTCAGCCACAATCAAAGGCAGACAGGGGCCAAGCCGTCACCCCCAGGCCTCGGGCTCCCCTCCTCGTTCGCAGACCCAGCTGGTCCGCCCCTGCCCAGACCCGCAGGCGGAGGCCTCGGCAATTCTTCTTAGTCTGTTTAGCTTATTACTTTATCCAGGGAAGTGTCGGCGGCCCATTCCAGGTGTCATTTCTCACAACGGGCCATTTGTTACTCTTCGACGTAATGAAGTAATGACATTTAACTCAGAGTGCCCCATGCCAATTTGTCTCTGAAAACCCGAGCGCGTCGGAATGACCCTTATTGTCAGAGTGAGATAAATACCACCCTGCCAGAGAAAGCACCCACCTCCACGGGGAAGCTCAGAGAGCCACACAGAACATGCTGGAAGCCCCCGGCTGTGACGGCAGCGTGAGAGCCGAGGGACGGGCCCAAGGGCAGCACACACCGTGGCTGGCAGGGCTGGCCCCTGGCAGGGGCACAGGAGAGGCGCACGGGGGTGCCGGGGGCGCGGCGGGACAAAACCACAGATAAAAGCAGCAGGTGGAACACAGGCGCCGCCTGCTAGAGGCCAGCCTGCTGTCCACCCGCTTGGGCCCGGAAACGCACGCCATGGGGCTGGGACGAGCTCCTGGGTCAAGGCCACTGGCTTCAGTGGTGTCTCTGCTGCTCCGACCCGGCCAGGCACTCAGATCTTGATCTGCAGGGACAGGAGGGCAGAGGACCACTCGCTCAGCTGTCTGTGCAGCCATAAGTCCGCAAGGCAGGGCCTGGTGCGCAGGAACGACCACCCCTCGGCAGTCAGACACGAACCACGTCCCCTCCGCCAGATGGCACGACAGCTGGGAGCTGGGTCTCCCAGGGGCGGAACTTGCACGACCTCCACTGCCTCCACGAGACCCCGGCCTGCCCCCAGCAGTGGTGCCGCCTGGCCAGCACGGACAGACGGGAACCACCCCTCCCGGCGATCGGGGGTGCTCACAGCTAGGTCCTCCCTCGCAGTAAGGCACGCAGGGGTGCAGCCTGCTAATTAGGGAGGAGAAACAGCTCAGGTTCACACAGCGCCTGGAACTTCAGGGGATTCCGACACTGCTGGTGAGTCTACGGTCGTCACCCTCCCCCCACACCGCACACGCCCTGCGACAGGCCTCTCCACATAATCAGGAGCTCCACTGGTGATCAGAACCCGCCCTCCTTCAGAAGCGAGCGGGCACTGCTCCACGTCTAGTCTGCATCGCTCAACTTGGGAGTTTTACGTTTGAAGCCCCAACACTTTGGTGATGGAGATTTCAGCAATTAAGTAAGTGGATTTGGGTTCCAATGCAGGGAGAAGTCCTGTTTTTGCCGAGAAAAATGTCACAACCCAAGACTATAAATTCACAAAACGCCTTGGCCCAGCAAGACAACCCACGTTCTGGTCAGACTGGCTGAGCAGCAGGAATGCTTAATTTCCACACAAATAACGCGCAGCTCAAGGTCACAGACTAAACCCCACCAGGGCTCGCAGCTCTGCGGCGTGGTCGACAACCAGCGGCCCACAGACACAGGCCCACGGCGGGAGGAAAGGCGCAGGGGAGTCAGAGACAGGAGCCGGGCGGTCTCCGCACGACTGAGGCAGGACGAGAGTCTGTGAGGATCGCGGCTGCCAGGCTCCGCAGCCAGACTCCCCAGCAGGCAGGGAGACCCGGGCATTAGAGGCTGCGTGCGAGCGAGTTGCAGGGAGAGGGGGTCTGACGGAGGGCCCGCGCAGTGGACAGGGAGGGAAGGCCACGGCGCTGGAGCCTGCAAGCCCCAACCGTCCGAGAGCGTGGGCCCCGCCACTGATGCCCCTGTTCACAAAAACATCACCAGAGAACACATCGATTCCACACCACTGATGCCAGGCCCTGGACCACCCGCTGCACTCCTCCCATGACACGCGTCACCAGCCGCATCGCTCCCTGCTGCTCTCCTGTGTGCTCTGTCCCCCCGCTGCAGTAAGAGCTCGAGAGCAGGGCTGCAGCCCCCTTGCTCTCCGTGTCCCCAGCACCCAGCAAGCCGTGCCAGGTGGACGAAGGGACAGCCGCCGCGGAGCCTGCGGTCTAGGAGGGAGGGGTCGTGACACGCACAGCTAGACCCAGAGCACAGGCAGCCCACACAACATCGTCCACGGAGAGCAAGACGAGATTTCACCCCACGGTCTCTGCTGAAGAGAAGCATCCGAATTACTGCCGAATTTAAGGTAAGAGGCGAAGTCTAGCCTGCTTCCAGGAACGACGCCAACAGCACACAAATCGCTGAGGGTTCATGCCAACTGGAGGCCGCAGGCTTCCCAGTGGGCCCAGACGGCCATGCAACCGCCGCCTCTCCATGGAAGCTCGGGGTCGCTAAGAAGGTCACCCCTCTGACCTTGAGGCCCCCGAAAGGCTGCAGCTGGGGCTGGGCTCACCTTCGAGACTCGCAGGCCGGGTTCTCGGGACAACAGGTCCGCAGGGCCAGCTGTCCTGACAGGGCGGGCTCTCGGCTGGGCCCCCCACCCCCGCACCCAGAGGAGCCCACGATTCGTCCGGGATGCGGCGGCACCTGGCGCCCGCGTCAGGCTCACAGGACGGAAGCTTTCCTTCCCGTCCGTCCCCTGCCCGTAAGGGTTTGGCCCCTCGTTATGACTTAGCAAGGAAAGGGCTGGAAGCCGTGCTGGTCAGGACCCGTCCGATGCCGCGCTGCCAGTCAGAAGCAGCTTCCTGTGGAGACAGTCATCTTTCAGAAGGCAGACAGCAGTCATTTATACAGAGAATAAGCTCCTTGAGTCATGATAATCTGAAAACGCAAACTGATCATAAATCAATCCACCAAACTGATTTACTCCCTTTATCTAATTAAGTCAAAAATAATTCCTCAAAGGATAAACAGGTCTTTAAATCCATCAGCAAACACTCCCTCACTCAGATCATTACTAATGCAGCCAAATGGAAAGAAAGATCGACCAGCACAGGACCGGGCTTGTTCCCGAAAGCCTCGGGGAGCCAGGTCCGGGGGGGCTGAGCACCGCGCGTGGGGCTCTGCTGAGGCCGGAAGCCACCCCGGAAGGCGCGTGCAGAGACACTCCCCGGGGTGAGGAGGGGGACAAGGGGGCAGGACCAGCCCGGGGGAGCCTGCCGCCGCGTGTGAGCAGCTCAGAAACAGACCCTCCCAGGATAGCCGGGACGACGGGAAAACCGGGTCCACGCGACCGCACACGAACTCGACGTGGCTGTAAGTGAAAAACCCAGGAAGCAAAGCAAGTGGGAAAACAGCTGGGACAGCACGGGCCAGGGATTCACAGCAACAACCTACCGAGAATCCCCTCCCCGTGAGAAGAGCATGTGAGAAGCCCAGCGAAAAGGAGGAAAACACGTGCAAAGGTTATGCATTTTAAAACTCAGTTAAAAACATACAGAAATGATCAACAGCACTAGTGTTTAATAAAACGAAATGAACATCATGA